TTCTCCTCGATGTTTCTAAAATCATATTTCTCCCTAGGGGTTTTGTCAGAGGATATGCTAGATTATGTTCTGACTTCACATAGTCTATGGAAATTGTTTCACTCTTTAACAATTGTTTTATCAAATTATTTCGCAATTGTATATGTTTGTTCTTTCCATTATAGTTATTGTTTTTAGCTATAACTATTGTTGATTGATAATCACAATGTATTGACACAGAAGGGATTAGTTTCATCTCTAATTGAATGTTTGCTAAGAAGTTTTTCAACCACTCAGCTTCACTACCAACCATTCCAAGAGCAAAAATTCTTATTCCAATTGTTGATCTTGCAATGATTGTTTGTTTGATTGATCTCCATGTAATTGCACTACCCTCGAGTGTGAATACATAAGCAATAGTGGATTTTGTCTCATTTGAATCAGAGATCCAGTTAGCATCACTGTACCCTTCTAATATAACGAGAAATTCACTATATTCAATGACATAATTCATTGAACCTCTTAAGTATCTTATAAGTCTTCCAAGTGTATCCCAATGTTCTTGATTAGGGCATTGAGTGTACCTACTGCATAAATAAATAATGTCAGGTCTAGAAGAGCTCATTAAATGTAGTAAGCTCCTAATTATCTGGACATATTGAGGTTGAGACATTGAGTTTCCTTTGTTTTTCTTTAATTTAGAGTTAGCGTCATAAAGGTACTCACTGGTTTGAAGTCTTAATACCCAAACTTTCTAAGAAGTTTCTCAATATATTGTTTTTGGAATAGTAAAATACTATTTCCCTTCCTTATGATTTAGATCCTAGAAAAAAAAAATAGTTCTAGAGACTACGTCAATGCATGTACCAAATATCAACATCATTAGTTGAAAAGTCAACACAAACTAGAACATTATCAAGTTTTTCATGTCACTGTTTTGGTGTCTGTTTTAATCTATACAAAGATTTTAAAAGTTTGCACACTTTATTCTCTTGACCAAGAACAACACACCCTTCAGGTTAAACCACATAAATTTCCTCCTTTAATTCACCATTCAAAAAGGTTGTCTTAACATCCATTTAGTGTATAACTAACTTATGGATAGCTGTTAGAATAGAGGAAATTCTAGTCACAGGGGCAAAAGTATCAAAATAATCAATGTTGGGTTTTTGAGTCAAACCCTTTGCTACTAATCTTGTCTTATATTTATCTTTGGATCCATCGAGATGATACTTTTTCTTAAAGATCCATTTACAACCAATGAATTTTGCTCCCTTAGACAAATCTACTAAGATCCAAGTATTATTTTTCTTGATTGAGTCAATTTTAGTCTTAATGGCCTTATCCTAATATGTTGCATTAGGAACACTAGTAACCTCTAAAAAACCTCATTGGATAATTTTCTTTAGTATAAGAAAAACCATTAAACATAGACCATCGTGAAAATTTTGTAGTCAGGTTATTCATCAATGTTATAATGTTTCTAATCCTTAATAAATGAACATATTACAAAAACTATCATGCTGTACAAAGACTACTAACTCAACCTGATCATTGCCATAACATTTCGACTAAAGTTCTTAATCTCAAGCACAACATTTCAACTAAAGTTTTCAATCTCAAGCACTAAAGTATAGCATACCATTATATAAAATGAAATATATTACAAGACCATTGTCCTAATAAGAGAATAGTGACTAAACCAAATGAACTCCATAACATGTCATGCATATTATATAAACTCAAAACAGATTTTCTCACATAAGATTTTGACATAAGTAGACAACTATGAATATGAAGATCAAGAAAACTTCATGGATGCAAAAATAAAGGGAAGCTAATTATTGTTTAAAATATTTCATTCAATATGGTATGACAAGTCCACAAAGTATGGCCACAAGTGCGAAATGTAACCAACATTCAATTTAGAAACACTAAAAGCAAACTCTATTAGGACACTAGTTTTCTAAGAAGAACTGATAACAACATTTCGCTCGTACAAAATACTGATAAAAAATAATAAACAAGTTGTTAAACTAATGTAGTATAGCTAACTAGTGTCGAATCTCACAAAGACACAATTATAGGAACATACTCATTATCACATATCATTCTCTCTAAAATATTTAATAACAATAAATAGGGAAATGAATAAAACAGTGAAAAAGAAATAAATAGATGTAGAATAATAAAAGTTAAAATCAAATTGCTATAAAATATTAATGACAATTAAAATTAGACGGATTTAAATAATTGAAATTTATAAAATTAAAATAAAGTGCTTTTAATTAAAAGTGCAAGAATCAATACTTGTTTTGAAATAAAATAGTGCAGTAATTAAATTTGAAATTAACGAAAATAAAATTTGAGTAAAACAGTGAGCAAACAATTGATTTCCTGATTCGAATGTAGTGTCATTTATCCTAAGTTACGAAATTAGATTGCTTTAACCCTTATTCCAACCCAAAATTAATCAACTAAGCGAAGATTAACCCAAATTATCCTTATACATTAAACATTGCATACATCACATAATCTCATCTCTAACACAAGATTAAGTAAATTGTTATATTGGTTTCGGTTTATTAAGCATAAACAAATTATAATTCAATACTAAGACTAGAAGATGAAGAGTTAAGAGAACAAACGAAACCTCAAAGATAAACTGCATTCTCCTCAGAAAATCAATACAAAGATTTGTTAGGAAAACTGATAATTAAATATGATCTTTAATCTAATGATCAAATATAAAATAATCCCATACTGAAATCATGTTATAAACTAAATGCGAAAGCGTACCTGAATAGGCCATAATGACTATATCCTTTGTAGAGAACTTTTGATTTGATCTTATGGTCTTCCACCTGAAGAGCACCTGTATTTCCCTCTTGATTTTCTCTCTTGATGGGGATAGAAAAGAAAAGAACGGGACTGTAACTACGTTCTGTCTACGTGCTCTCAGAAGGGGACCATGACCCCTTAAAATAACCAAAATTAGGTTAATTGCTTAAGTTTTAGTATTTCCAATTTGGCCCTTCATCAAATTAGAAATTTCTCTATGGTCTCTACACAATTTTATTTTCATGACATATGCCTTTAGCCAAACCTTTTTAATTTAGTCAGATCACTTTATTATTTGGCTTAATAAATAATGACCCTAACACATTTAAATATGTATCATATATATACATGACCCAAATTTTGCCAACAAGATTTAGTTATCTATGGAAAAATCAAAACGCAAAAGAAGAAACATAATTAAAATTGAAACAAAGAATGTGTTAAAAATAATGACAGAAGAATAAACGAACGTGAATATAAAATGCAGAAAACAAAAATGACATTCGGAGGATGTGGTTGCGTGATACGCATTGCGTGATGTTCGTTATGATGTGCCTCCGCGTTTAACCCTACGTGATTACTAACATAAATAACCCTAAACCCTAGTTTGCCTCTAGGTTTGGGCCCAATTGGCCCATAAAACATATCAGAAACAAATAAAACAAAAATCCTAATCCTAATGGACAACTGACATAACATCTGACCCAATCTTCGAAGCCCAAAATTATTTTAAACTGTCCTGAAAATAATAATGAGCAAAAATTATATCAACTATATTCAAATTAATTAAAATCTGAATTATTGGCCCAATGAAGCCCAATTAATAAAAATTCACTAATAACAGACAGTTAAACCCAAAATACTAATTAAAATAAGTACAAAAAGGTAAGAAAATATGGGAATATAATGACTCATCAAATACCAAAATGCATTCAAGGGATAATTTGAATACATAGAAACAAAAAACAAACACATCAACAACTCAAATTCTTGGCAAATCTTAATTCTTGACAATGAAAAGGAGACTATGAACTCCGGACAATTTGTGATTTCAAAGCTTTCCTCTTTGACCTGCTCAAGTTCTAGGGAACACTTGCAAACAATCATTGTCAAATAAACTGATAATTTTGTTTCATAAGATGACAAATTATTGAGAGCAGAAGCGATGAGGAGAGTGGAGTTTGATTGTAACTATAATAGTGGGAAGGTAGACATTTCATCAAACACTTCATAAGAAACTTAATTTCTCATAATAAAACCATAACATATCTCGCAAATTTTCACTGTACCAAGTAAAGGTGATTTGAATAGTGATGTGAAAAATGACAAGTATCAAACAAAATCTAAGACTATATTAATCCTCGAGCATACAAATGACATGTGAGAGAAAGAAAGAAAGTTACTATTGAAACAAAACCAACAAAAACTAATAGAAGAGAAGCTTCAATTCGTTGAGTCCACAAATGACTGCACGAGAAGAAGAAGGCTTCAATTTTCGAAACGTCTAGGAAAGGTTTCGCAAAGAAAATTTGAGTTCTGGAAATGTTGTTTGCTTTTTTTGGTGTAGAGTTGTTATTGGTATTCATACTGTCAGCATAAGTCCTTAAGATTGTTATAAATGTTGACGGAGTTACAAATAAAATTTGATTTTGGAGACGTGTATAATCACTGTCCTTAAGAGCTTATTCACAGTGTATTGTGCAAGTTTCCTAAGATACAACATGAAGTTTCTAGAAATTCCCAGAATATTAGAAACTAGAAAATAACTCTTAAAATAGTAAATAAACCTAGGATAAAAGGAATGAAACAAAAAAAAAGAAGAAGAGAAAATGAATGAAATATTTTTTGGAGGAGTGTAAAGTTGTCTATTTATAGGTGTAGTATAAGCAACAAACTCATCTTCATATTCAACATCATGAATGGTTTTGGTCTGAAAACATGGAGAGTGGAACACTTCTAAGTTAGTGGAATTCATTCTAGTAGTGGAGCACATTATAGATTTTGCAATATCCCTATTTTACAACAATTTTCTCTTATAATGATGTGTTATTTTTCTTTCAACTTTCCATCTAGTTGACATTCTCATGTTTAATGGTTTTTATCTCCTTTGCACTTTTCTTCTCAAAATTCTTGAGCTCTTTTCACAACTATCAGCATTGTCATTGGATGATTCTTTCTAGATTTTGGAGTTGGTCTTGGTGATCATGGTCTGTCCTTGATTATTATGTTTCTCATTGATATCATATGACTTGACTCAAGATGGATGCTAGATATTTTTAAAAGGTCAAATGACCTTTATAAGACCTAGATATGTCCTTCATACTCCTCCTTTCAATTTGAGATGTGCTAATAAGGATGTCTTTGTAGATAATCTAATACTCAAATTAGTTAAAATAAAATAATAAATGTAATTAATAAATCATGAGATTTTCATCCATTTATAATATTTTAAAGAGCATATACCTGATGAGCCTTAACTATATATTAGCCTCTGACATTCGAAGAGTGTTAAGTGATAAAAAATTTATTATTAAAGGAGTTTTGAATATTATTTTCATATATAAAATGATTATTAATTAATTATGCTGATGACTTTGTTAAAGACATGATTTTTTTTAAGTGTTAGGTAATTTTACACCTGAGTGATATAAATGTTTTTTTTTATAAAATTTTAATAACCGATTCAATACTTAACTTTAAAAAAAATAGGCAGTTTTAATATATTATCAACGTGTTATTTAATTGTTAATAGAATTTATATATATATATATATATATATATATATATATATATATATATATATATATATATATAAGTTAGTGATTTATATAAAATACTGATAATAATGTTCAGCAAATTTTAATACATGTTATTATATGTTAATATTTTCTATTAATAATACACTTAACGTTGAAAATGCAAGTTACATTGGATATGCATATGAAAATGCGAGAACGTAGAGAACGTGGGTTGTCAGGAAATAAACAATATCAGGAATCACTACTCGGTGAAGATTTACGAAGAAAATCACCACTCGTTGCGGCAATTCTAAAACGGGATGAAGGTAATTCCTGTTGCCTGATTATAAATTTGCTCTTATAATTGTCTGATTAATTTATTTATAATTGGATAGTTGGATAGTAACGCTATGCCTACTTTTTGTGTATTTTGACGGAATAATTAAATTTTCAAGAATTTTTGTTTGACAAAAAATAATCATAAATAATTAAAGGATTTGATATTTCTCGACGAGATTCTGCTCGTAATTGGTTCATCGTAACATATATGGCAGGTATTCTAAAGGAAATAGTAAAGGTAAAAAGATGGATTCATTTGAAGGATGATAAGGGAAGGAATGCTCTTCACTATGCAGCAGCTATAGGTTACCTCCATGGTGTGGAGTGCTTGCTTCAAAATTGTGATTCCTGCGATATGGAAAAAGACAACGATGGCCTTTTTCCTCTTCATCTGGCTTCTGCAGGTGGACATGTTAAAGTGATAAAGAAATTGCTAGAGAAGTGTTTAGATCCCAGAGAAATAGTTGATAAATATGGTCGAAATATTGTTCACATTGCAGCTCAAATGGGACAGTATAATGTGATAGACTACATCTTGAAAGATGCAAATGGTGTTTTAGATCTGATAAACGACAAGGATAAGGATGGAAACACTCCCTTACATTTGGCTGCCTCGCACTGCCATCCAAAAATTGTGCAAGCCTTGACATGGGACAAAAGAGTGGCTCTGGATTTGCTTAACAAAAGAAATCAATCAGCTCTTGATGCTTTTGAGCAATTTGAACAAGAAAATCCGTCCTTCCCAGAGGCAAGTATTTATAGAGTACTGTGTTTACTAAAGAAAGTATGTTTTTTTATGATATTGTTATGTTAACACAAACTTGTATTTGCAGCGGTTAACATGGTCTCAATTAATATCTGCTGGTGTACAAAATGCTAAGACAGGGTCACAGTCTATCAAGGTCCCTTCCCCTTACCATTCCTCAAGATCAGAAGCCACAGAGATGGATCTTTATAAAGACAGAATCAATACCCTTATAGTGGTTTCAACCCTTATTTTTACAGTAGCATTTGCCGCAGGTTTTACTTTGCCTGGTGGAACTAATAGTTCTACTCCAGGACAAGGCATGGCTGTTATGCTGCATCACGTGTGGTTCAAACCATATATTTTCTGCGTCACAACATCCATGTACGGTGGCATTAGTGTTGCAATTATACTCATGTGGGCTCAATTGGGAGATATAACTTTGGCTGTTTTTGCCCTTAAAGTGGCAAGGCCGCTTTTAGGAGTCTGTCTTTCAACCCTGTCAGTGGCATTCATGGCTGGTATCCACCTTGTTATAAGTGATCTCAGTTGGCTGGCTACTACTATTCTGATTTTGTGTGTGATCTTCATTCTCCTGCTTATGTTACTGTACACTCTTCTGTGGTTCCCCTCGTACTCAACCAACCCAATAATGCGACGCCTTTCCTTCTATCCATTTCAGTTTCTGACGTGGTTATTTGAAAAAGATTAAGCTAAAGGTAGGTAATCTCGAATACACTCAATACTGAGGTATCTGCCCTTCTGCTATTTTATTTTCTTCTTTATTCTCTTTGAGATGGAGATTTAACTTCGTTTTCATGTGCATCCTAAATGGAGTGGTGTCTCTTCTATAATACGCTACTCATCATTTTCATGTGCAAAATCGTTTGGCTTTATGAGCTCTAAAATCATTTATGATATTTTTAGAGTCAAGTATGTCTTACTAGTAATGGCTGAAAGAAATTTTATTTGTACATATCATTATAATAAAAGAAAAAGTAATTTTATCAAAATTTAGTAAATATTAAGTTTTGTACGGTGATAATATATATTTTTACCAATTAAAAATATTGTTCAGCTCTGTATTTGTCCCTAAGTTCTTATCCTTGTAGCAAGATTGTTGATTCTTCCTGTAAAAAGCATGTTAGCAGCGAGACTTTGGTTTAACACCATGTTTTATTTTCATCATATATAATGAGTTTAATGATTTATTGAGTTGCAGAAATGAATTCCTTGCGAATTCTAATGGAAAATTGTTGTAAAAGCTAACAGAAGACAACACTATGTTCTATATAGCCTAGGAAAATACAATCAGAACTTTTAGAACATATTTTCCTTTTCTTAGGAATGGCTAACATTACCTTAACTAGGTACCCCATACTCTTAGATATTTAAGATTATACTCATAACCTTTCCATAATTTATAGGGAGTTTTACCAATTTTCTTGTGTGACATCATATTTTGTAAAAAATACGTTATAAGTAGAGTTTCTCTCCAAAGATTATTAGGTGCACTAAAACTAAGCATGTCATTTATCATTTCTTTTAAAGTTCTACATTTTCTCTCAGTTATTCCATTAGACTCAGGTAAATATTATGGGGTCACTTCATGAACAATATCTTCTTTAACACAATAATCATTAAATGTCAAAAAATAATTTTTAGCACCTCTTGACGTGGGTTTATTTTAGATGAGATAGATCAGTATGAATTAATCCTAAAAAGTTCAGTTTGACGTTCTACCGATTAACAATTTTTTTTCTTGGTTATTTTAGATTCTACACATATATCACATTTATTATTTTGTTTATCATGCATATTAACTAATCCTAATCGTTGCAATGTCATAACATACGAAGAATTCATGTGTCCTAGTCTAGCATGCCACAAATCATATGAATCAATAATATAAGTAGAAGAACAAGATTCATTAACAACCTCAGAGATGTTAAGTACAAAAAGACATTAGTCACAATATCCCTTCCCTACAAGGACATTATTTTTTTTCATAACAAAATTATCAGATTCGAATGACATTTTAACCCCAATTTTTCCCAGCAGTGCTACAAAGATTAGATTAGCTCTGATTAATGACACAGCACATCACTCATGTTCTTCTCCATCCTTACTAGTGGGGGAGATAAAAACACTTCTATTTGCACAAATGTGTCTGGTAGCACCAGAGTCTACCACCCATTTGCTCATATTTTTGACAAGGTTTATTTGAAAAACGATCACAATAATTGTATCTTCTCTTTCGGCTAAATACAACTTTTCCCAGCAGTGCTACATATATTATATTAGCTCTGATTAATGGCACATGTAACACATCATTCAAGGCCAGAGTCTTCTTCCCAAATGTGAGCTTTAGAAGAAATTTTCCTTTTCTAAGATAGGAGTTGTCCTAGAAGCACCGAGATAAACATATTCTTCTCCATCCCCTAGGAGGTAAAAACACGTATGTTTGCACAGATGTGCCTAATAGCACTAGAGTCTACCACCCATTTACTCACATTTGTCTTCTGTTTTAACTAAATTTACATTAGGAGGATTGTCATTTTTCATTCTACATCTGTACTACTGAGGTGCATGATGATCTAACTTTCCACCGACAAAGCAATTTCCATTCTTCTTGAAGATAGGGTTAGATCCATTGGGACGAGAATTTTTAAAATTATTTTTCTTCTTATAATCAGGTTTTTTCTCATACCTTTTTGGAGTTGGTTTGTCTTCTACCATATTTGCCTTAGTTGATAATGCCTTAGCCCTTGCAGTAGCACACTCCTTTTGGTTGGTATCTTCGATGATGATGTGCGTAATCAAATTTGTTAGTGACATCTATTTATATCTATGATTCAGTTGTTGTTTGTAGTCTGTCCAAGATTTTGGAAGTTTTTTTATTAGAAGTTCTGAAACAAACTCATCAAGTAGGATTATGTTTTCGACTTTAATATCTTCAAGCAGTTTACGGTACTCGTTGATATGGATCTTGATTTCCTTGTCTTCTAGCATCTCCCAGCGATAGTAGTTTCCAATAATGAACTTTTGTCTCACGACATCTTCGGCAGTATATTTGAGAATTAATGAATCCTATATATCTTTGGCTTCCTTATAGGAACAATATACATCGAACAAATCATTAGACAATGCACTAAGTAAAGTGTGTCGACATACCTTGTTCAAATGAAATCAATCTTCAATTTTTTTAGTAGGAGTACTGGAGTCAGGTTTAGTAGTTGTAAGAGCAGAAGTCACTCCATACATGTCTAAAGAGAGTAGAAATGTGTTCCTACCAGCGTCGAAAGTTTTGCCCAGTGAAAACTTCAATTTTTGAAATGTTCGAGAACGGTTTCGCAAAGACGGTTTGAGTTCCGAAAATGTTATTTGTCTTTTCCGGTGTAGAGTTGTTGTTGGTATCCATACTATCAGCCATAAGTCCTTAAGATTGTTGTAAAAGGTGATAGAGACACGAACAAACTTTATTCATGAGGCCAGTGGCGGATCTTGGTCCCCCTCAATTCCCAAGAAGATCTGCCACTGGTGAGGCGTGTATAATCACTGCCCTTAAGGACTAATCCACAATGTATTACGCAAGTCCCCAGGATACAATAAGAACTTTTCGAATTTTTTGACGATTTGAGAGACTAGTAAGAAACTCTTAAAAGAGTTAATAAACCCATGATAATAATAGAGCAGGAAGAAAAATAGAGAAGAGAATATGGGAGATGTGTGTTTTGGAAGAGTGTGAAGTGATATCTATTTATTGATATAGATTGGGCCCAAAACCCTAACTACTTTCGTCCAAAAAATCCATCAGCAACCACCTCACCCCAATTCTTAGGAAGTGTCATGAAATAAGGAGAAAAATTTGCAACCACCTCACCCCAATACTTAGGAAGTGTCATGAAATAAGGAGAAAAATCTGCAGCAGTTAAAGGAAGACTTGGTAGTGGGTCTGCAATGTTCTCTGCAACGTGTGAAAGTGTTAGTAATTTTAGGGTTTTGTATATAAGTATTTTTGATATATCATGTGGGTGTACTCTGTATATATAGAGTAAACATATTACAAAATATCAAATATTAATAATATCTCAATCATAACTGCCTAAATCAAAATAATAACCTAATATTTTTTCATCTTCTCTCTTAAAAGATAATAAAATCTCTTAATATCTAATTTAAATAAAAGATAATAAAGTAATATTCCCAACATTCCTCCTTACTTTAATATCTATTTATTTGAATTTGATATTTTTTCTTTTATTTTGCTTAGAATTTTTTCCTCTTTTTTTGTTTGTACTTCTTATCATCTTCTTTCTTGTACAATATCGCATCTTCATTCAACTTCACTTTCTTCATCAAAGTATTTCTTCCTTTGTCAACTTTATCTCTTTTGTTTCTTTCAAACTTCATAGTAGTATCGTTGACTCTTTGATGAACATTGGAAACAATTTCTTCATCTACATCTTTATTTTCCTCCTTAACATCAAGTTCCTTCAAGAAATATTCTTCATTCTTTTTCTTTGACTTTTCTTTTATATCCTCATTTGTAATCAATTCTTCTTTCATCAAATCTAAAGTGAAACTTTTTCCTTTCATATGAACTTTGAATATTTCCAAGTTATTTGTATCTTTAATCACACAAAGTTTGTGTTCAAAAGACACCTTATAACTTTTCTCTAATAATTGAGCAACACTTAACAAATTATGATTAATATCAAGAACATATAATCAAAAATCAATTTGATACCCAAATGACTTTTAACTGCAATTTTTCTCGTACCTTTCACATCCATTTGTTCTCCATTACCGATTCTCATGTTAGAAATATGTGATTCGTTAAGCTCTTTGAAAAGTTCTCGATCATGAGTCATGTGGTTTGTACCACCGTTGTGTATAAGCCAACCTGTGAATTTGTTGATTGTAGAGCATGTTGATGCAAGGAGAAGTATCTCTTCTACTCTATCCTCTATAACTTGAACGACTTCCTCTGGTTGTGATTTGCATATCTTTTCTATATGTCCCAATTGACCACATTTGTGACATTTCACATCAGGCCTCCACCAACACTTGTTGGGTGTGTGATTATTTTTCTTGCAATAAGGACAGACAGAAAAAACTTGTGATTTTGTACCTTTGTTGTTCTTGGCTTGGAGAGAACCTCCATCATGATATAGTAAAGAACCTTCACCAACAACATGATCTCCTCTCATCAATCTTCGTTGTTCTTGCGCTTGTAAAACATGTAGCACTTCTCGAATTTTCTCATCCCCTTCATATTGATCTTTCAAATAATCCCAAATTTTTTTGGGTGACTTTAGTGTCATGATTCTGGTGAGGATCATTTGTGAAACACCAACAAACATACATAATTTAGCTTCTGTCTTCCTCGTTTTTCTTTCACTGTGAAATTTCATTTCAGCTATGGTGAGATTTTCAGGTAGTGGATCAACAATATAATCTTCTTCTACAGTTTCCCATACATCAAATCCTTCAAGATAAGATTGTATTCTCACAGCTCATAAGTCATAACTTTCACCATAAAAAACTGGTATAGTGACTTGTGAAAAATTTATTTCTCCTTTCATTGTATCGAACCAAAGCTCTGATGCCACTGTTGATAATTTTAGGGTTTTGTATATGTGTATTTTTGATATATCATGTTAGTATATCTTTATTCATATACTTTATGTATATATAGAGTAAAAATAT